TCAAGCCATTTCAAGCGACCAATTCCTGATGGTATCTTTCCTGTCAAATGGTTCATTGACAAGTTCAAGGTGCCCAATCTTGAAAGATTTGTCAGCTCTTCATGGAAATCTCCAGATAAATTATTGCTTGAAAGGTCTATGCTGTTCACAAGAAACAGACAGGTCTCATAAAAAAGATCTCTTCCCTTTGCCACAATCCATAATCGCTCCTCATATCTCGTATCATTAATAATGCTGGAAAATCCACTCATATTGCCAATACAGCGAGGAATCGATCCTGACAAATTGTTGTCTCCCAAGTTCAGTATATGGAGAAGGGAAAGATTGCATAGCTGTATTGGAATATCCCCAGTGAACAGGTTTGATCGTAAATTTAGAATCCGCAAAGATGGCATAGTTTCTCCGATCCATGTTGGAATCTCTCCAGAAAGCCTGTTGTTTCCAAGATCAAGATTTTCCATGACTGTGCAATTCCGCAGGGTAGGTGAGAGTTCCCCAGAAAGATTGTTTGTGCTCAGCCTCAAGTATCTGAGTTCAGTCAAAGAACCCAAAGAAGGAGGTATATTCCCAGATAAACTATTGTTGGACATATCAATAAGATACAAGGCTGTTATGTTATTCCAGATATCCGGAATTTTTCCAGTCAACTGATTGTCTGAGATAAGAAAAGTCAGCAGAAAATTCAGGTTTCCAATGGATGAGGGAATAGAACCATTGAAGGAGTTGGAAGAGAGATCAACATCAGCCAACATGGGCATTCTTTCACCAAAATCATGAGGAATTGGCCCAGAAAACATATTATTGTCAAGATGTAATGAACTCAAATTCGATGATAAAACTAGAAGAGGGCCAATGAAGTTATTATGGTTCAAAAAAACAAAACCTTGAGGCCTAAACTTTATGGAGCTTGGCACTCTACCAGTTAACTGATTGTAACTAAAGTCCAGCACGTCCAAAACCAAATCTAGCTTCCAAAACCACTCCGGGATGCTGCCTGAGATCCCAGCTTTCAACAGACCTACATACTCCAGCTCGTTTTGATTTCTTAGCCACGCAGGAAATTCAGGGCCTACAAGGCATGCTTTGAGGTTTATATATCTTAATTTGAAAGGAGGAACCCAATTGGAAGACGCATTGAACATCAAGGTGATGTTCCAAGAATTTTGAACAATTGATAGCTCCTTTAGGCTTGTGAGATTAGAAAAGTGAGCTTCTGTCAAAACACCCTCCCATTGATTGTCTTTGATATCTAATGAGACTAATGATGAGAGTTGTCCTATGGTTGTTGGGATTGTTCCTTTCATTCCATTGTCGGAGAGATCGAAAAACTCTAGTGAAGACAAATTCCCTATGGATTCTGGAATGGAACCGACAAAGTAGTTGTGCACGAGAAGAAGATTTTTTAAGTTCCTCAAGTGTCCCAAAGAATCAGGAAGAAAGCCACCAAGTTCATTGTAATCCAACTGCAATGACTCTAAGCTACAATTGTTGCATTGAGACAAGCCACTGGTAAATTCTCCAATATCACCACCAATCTTATTGAATGAGAGATCAAGCACTTGCAAATTGCAGAGGTTTCCCAAATTTCTTCTTGACAACCTGCCTTCCATAAATGAATTTTCAGACAAGTCAAGGTTTTGAAGAAAGTTCATTCCAGCAAATCCATCAGGAATTTCGCCTTTGAGATTGTTAGAGTTGAGATCAAGATACTGAAGACCACTTATGTTAAAAAGCCAAGTAGGTATTGAGGAGTTGAAACCATTGTTTGAGAGATCAAGCACGGAAAGGGATGAAAGGTTAACGAGGGGAAGTGAGAGAGGAAGAATGGAAAGTCCACAAACTGGTAAGTGCAGCTCTTCTAATGAAGGAAGCATGTTGACAGCTTCAAGCCAGTATGTGCTGGTCATGCTAAGATCAACACTTCCCAAATTTAGGTGTTTCAAAGTAGAAAGGGTTGTTAACCAATGCAAATCATTCTTGTTTGAGTCAGTAAAACAAGAATTGAGATCAAGATAGCGCAGGCTTGTAAGGTTTCCCAAAAAAGAAGGAAGAGATCCACCGAAGGATGCACCCGAGAGATTGAGGTATCTCAAAGTCTTGAGTGATCCAAAGAAGTTTGGAATTGAGACTCCTCCAAAGTTGTTCATACTAAGGTCTAAGTACCTCAAGTATTTCAAATCAATCAAAGAAGGATGTATCTCACCGCCTAACGCATAAGCTGTTGCATCTGATACATCAGGATTACTGGAATACAGGTTGGGAAGTTTGAGCTTGGTGACATGTCCAAGCTTGTCACTGCACCGTACACCAGCCCAGCTACAGCAATCTTCACCTTTCCAAGAAGAGAGCCGCCCTGAGGGATCGGTGAGACCTTCTTTGAAGTTGAGAAGAGCTTTTCTTTCCATTGGAATGCAGCTAACATTTTGACTCACACATGAACCAAATTTAACAGTTTCGAGGTAAAGGAACTCAGAGGAGAGGATCAAAATAAGAGAAAAACACCAGATGGATGCTGTGGTATTCGCCATGTCTCATGCAGGTAAGAAAATGAATAGAAGTGCAGTTGCGCTCATATTGTTTATAGGGAAAAAGGTTAACAAACATTTGGGTTGACTTAGTCAATGTCTTTGTGCTGAACCATTGGAGGAGTCTGTTGTCTGTTTCCAATCTTAATTGATTGATGCTTTCTCTTTCACCTAGTTACTACGTCCCATTACCATTCTTAATGTAAAAGGAACTTCCATTTATTCTCTGGTGTAAATGATTGCAACCAGATCCTTGAGTTTTGGCTTGATTCAAATTCAGTCAATTAGTTCAAGCGTGTTGAAGGGTAATGCGCCTCACGTGACACTGACTCGAGTTTAACATATTTCCTAATAGTGGCTTGATGATATGACTCTTTTGCATTGTCAACTTGATAAATTTTTTTGGACAAGACGTTCAATTCTCAAACCAATAAATTGGATTTGAATTAATGCTATGAAATGTAAAATGTAAAGCTTTCTAAACTTGTTTTCATACTAGATAAAAGAAAATGGAGTAGCATAATATTGCAGTCTAGTAGTCAAGTGAAAGGAATAAAGAAACTTTGACGCCACAGGGTTGAATGCTGAGCTGAAGTCACCATAACTGAAGCTGAATGAAGTTTTTTTTTCAACTTTGAATTAATTCCTGTTGAACTCGCTCAATGTGAACTTGTTCAATGTCCCAAATTTTCCAATGCAAAAGTTTCCAATTTCCAACTTCCAATAAAAGTATGAATTCCTGGAATTTTGGGTGGGAAAACTCATCCCAAGTTGGCCATTTTTCTTAAACTTTTCTAAATCCATAAATGCAGATATTAATATACTAGAATTAGTACACAAAGTCAATTTTCTAAAAAATTCCTAGGTTGTTAATGCAATTAAAGTTTGTGGAAATTAATAAGCAACTTGTGAATTTAACCAATAGTAATTTAATTATTATATTTTGTAAAAAATTTTAATTACTAGATAATAAATAAAACATATAAATTATATAAAGCTTCTCATTAAAAATTTTTCTTGAAATAAGTTTTTATTTAAATAAATAAATTTATTCAAAATTACAAAAAAAAAAAAAACAGATAGTGCTACACAAAAAATACAAGAGATAAAGCTTCAACAAAGCTATAATTAATAATTATAAATGTCATCATCGTCGTATTATTATTTGAAATATCTTAAGTTTACTCATTTGTG